CAGCACGTAGTCCTCCCAGCGGATCAGCCTGCCCAGCACCAGCATGACGGGGATGGTGGGCAGCCCCATGAGCAGGAAGAGGGGGTCTGCCCGCTCCATCACATCCAGCCCCTTCTTATGGCCAACCACCTGCAGCCGGGAGAGGAGGCGGCTCAGAGCCCACGCCGAGAGCTGGGCTCCCCACGCTGGCCGGGCCAGTCACACCCCCGCAGCACGGGCACCACGTTGCCTTCTCAGGCCAATTCCCAGCAGCACCCTGCCCACGCCAGCTGCATGGCCCCAGCCGTGCCCCCACATAGCCAGCCTGGCACCCAACAGCACCCATGGGTGCAGTCGCTCCAGTGCTCTTGCCTCTGTTCCGGAGCCTGGCGGAAGAACCAGCCCCGGCCCAGCTCAGGCCCCCTTTGGTGAACCCCCAACACGTTACCTGCATCACCGTGACGGCCCCATAGGTGACAGCTGACCAGTACACCGTCCCCACCACGATACCGGCCATGGCGAAGGGGCTGGCTCTGGACAGGATCTGGTCCACCTGGTGGAGGAAATACACCAGGGGCCCTGCAGGGAGATCAGAAACTCAGGCCACACACGTGCACACACACCCCTGTATTCCCTGGGCCAGCTGCCCACGGGAGAGACTTCAGACAGTCCCCAGGGACGAGGGCTGCCCCCACCCACTCACGGGCAGGATCCCAGGGCTTTCAGCCCTTCCCCACCAGGCCAGGCCAGAACCAGGAATTTCACAGGCCACACAGGCTAATGGGTGGAGCACAAGGTCAGGAGACAGGGACATGCCAGGGCATTGCGCCAACCTCTGTGCTCCAGGCAAAGCCTCCCCAGACACCCTCCACTCTGCCCCTCATTAACCCCTTCACACCCACTGGCCCCATCAACCCCGTCTCCTGGTGCCCCGGGTCGCGGTCCCAGGCAAACCAAGCCCCGGCCAGGACCCAGACAGGCTGGCTGGGGACCCAGGCCCCCCGCCGCGCTCACCCAGCTTGGGGAAGATGATGCGGTACTCGGTGCCGCACTGCGGGCAGCTCACGCTGCCTGTGCTGTTGCCCTTCTGCTTCTCGTCCAGCCAGCGCTGCAGGCAGGCCTGGTGGATCCATTTGGTGGAGCCTTTGCAGCGGCAGGGGCAGACCCACTCAGCGGCCCGGTCCTCACGCTCTGTGGCGAAGCAGACCCAGCAGTGCCTGGAGAGCAGAGAGCGCGTCAGGGAGCCAGGCGCCCCCAGGAACCCACGCAGACCGGGAGGGCAGGGCCAAACTCTGGGCCACCCCACCCCAGAGCAGGGGGATCCCTAGGGGACCCAGCGACCCTTAACTGCCAGGTTCCCCCCCAGCATCGCTCTCCAGTCCCACCCCCATCCGGATCCTGCCCCTGCCCGGGCCCAGGCTCAGCGCAGGGCAGCCGGGACCCAGCCCCGTCCCACGTCCCAAGGGCCCCCAGAGCCAGGCCAAAGGGGGAGGTTGGCTGGGGTGGCGGCAGGAGGGGAACGTTCCTCAGGGAGATCGGGCCAGGCCAGTGCCGGGTTTACAATGGCACCAGTGGCTCCATGGAGCTGGGCCTATGCTCAGAAGGGGCCCCGGCCTGCTCTGCTCGCACTGCGTCCTGAGACCCTGCTAGCCACTTGTTCCTCTCAGCCTGCTCACCCACTGGCCGAGGGCTCCTCTCTGCCCCCTGGCCCCACCCACCAGCTCCTCTCTGCCCCCTGGCTGGACCCCAGGGCACCTCCAGCTCCAGGCCTCTCTGCTTCCCACCACCTGTGGGGGCCCCACCTGTCTCCCCGGAGCTGAGCTGCCTGGGACTGCTGCAGAAGCCTGGCAGGTCTTAGCTGGGCCCCTCCAAGCAAGTGAGTCCGGAGGGAGCCCGGCCAGGACAGGCCTTGGCCTGGCTGATCACACCGCTCCAGAGGGGCCGGAGCGATTCCCTGCCCCGGGACCAGCCCTGGGGGCTCAGCCCAGCAGACACAGTCACTCCCCAGCTGGCTGGTGAGTGCGGCCAGGAAACAGGGGATGGGGGAGCGGGTCTCTGGGGGGGGTCGCTGGGCTGTGAGGGGGGGAAGATCTCTGTGTTTTGGGGCACTTTAGAGAGTGGGGGCTCAGGGGGGACTGGGCAGGGGTGGTGTTGTGTAGGGCGCTGGGCATTTATGGCAGGGTCGGGGGGGTGGCTCTGGCCATAGCGGGTCTGGGGGGGCTCTGGCCATAGGGAATTGGAAGGGGGTTCTGGTGTTGGGTTGGGCGCAGGGGCTGTGTGGCATGGCCTAGGTCTGCCCCCCCCCCCCGGGAAGGGGCATGCTGGCAGCACAGGACCGGGCAGGCCACTGGGCATCTGGCAACTGCCGGTTTGTAACTAGTGCCCTGGGCTGGGTGGGGCCGCCCCTCCATTGCCCCTGGCTGGCCCCTCGCTCCGGGGACCGACACCCCCACCCCGGGGCCCCACAAATCTGTTTGGTGCGGGGCCCACAAAAGGTTAATCCGGCCCTGGGCCGGCTCCAGCCCTTGGGGAGGGGATTCGAGCCGGGCGCGGGGGCGGGACTCGGGGGCTCGGTTCGGGGCCGGGGCTCGGGGAGTTCGGGCCCGGCCGGGCTCGGCTCCTGCCCGGGCCGGGGACCCCCCTAGCGCTCACCTCTCCTCAGCCGGCTCGGCCATGGCGGGCGGCCCGCTCACACCCCCCGGGCGGCCCCGGGGCCCGGCCATCGCCGGCCCCCGGCCCGAGCGAGCGCGCAGCCAGCCGCGATCCGCTGCCCCTGCGCCGGGCTGGGCTGTGCCGGGTCGCTGTTCTCCCCCGGCCGCCCCGCTGCGCCTCGTCCCGCTCCCGGCTCTGGCGCAGCTTACCCCGGCCCGGCCCCGGGGCGGCCCCGCAGCCTTGAGCCCGCCCCGCAGGCCGCGGAGAGCGGCGCGGCCTGGTTCTGAACAGGCCCAAGGGGTGCGGAGCCCGGGCCGGGTCTGGCTCGGGACAGGGGCAGGGCGCGCACAGCCCCGCCCGTCTAAGGCCGTGGGTAGGACGGTTAGTCCCACGTGGCTCTTCTGTGGGTGCCACCTGTACAGCTCTACCCGGTCAGCAGCTTTATGCCCGTTTTGCAGATGGGGAAACTGAGGCACGAGAAGGGGTACCACGGTCACCCAGCAGGCAAGGTGGCAAAGCGTGGACCTGAAGCCTGTGCTCCCCAGGCCCAGCTCAGTGCACTATCCATTAGGCCACACGACCCCTACAGTGCCAGGCTTGTGCCCTGGCTGGAATGGCACCTGGTGCAGACATCGCCTGTTTATATCATCAGCCAAAAGCAATGGCAAACTGCCATGGACTTCACTTAGAGCCCAGTTTGATGAGTATGGCACCCAGTCCAGGCCTCTCGCACCCAAGCCTGCATCACACTGCGATCCCACTGTCAGTGCTCGATTTCCGGGCCCGCTATGAATGGCCACCCACAGCTTGAATTGTTTCCCAGGACGTCCCTCGCAAACGGTCCCGGAAGACACCGTCACAGCCCCTGTTAGTGCGGGACGTCCTGTGGGTCTGCAAAGCGAGAAGTGAGCGTGCAGTGTTTGCGCGGTTCATGAGGCCGGCAAAGTGTTCTGTGGGTGTCATGCTGTTGGCCGAGATGGCAGACGGCGAGACGTGCCACGCGGGTTTGCAGGATTTCTAAAATAAGTGCAAAAATTATAAGCTGTGGATGGCATTATGGGATGGAGAAAGGTGTGCTGGGAACTTGATCACTAGCTCCCAGAGTTCCCGGTCGTTTCTATCCCATGACACTTTGAAAACTTTCCCAGGTTAGGCCCTGATCCTGAGAACTGTTCTGCACAAAGGTGAGCTCACTTGGAGGAGCTTGCAGGACCAAGGCCTTCCTGTGAAACTACCATGGACTTCCCAGGCCAGCAGCGCTGCAGCCTCTGGCGGGCACCCAGTGATCTCTTGCTCTGGGAAGGAGGACATGCAAGACTGGGATGAGGAATCAGAGGAAGAGCGATAGAAAAGACACATGAGGTCCCATCCCCCCAGCCAGGACCAGTGCAGGAAAGTTCTCTGCTGTCTGTGCCCCAGGAAATACACACTATGATTAATTCTCACCTATGGACCCGCCTAGAAAATAAACAGAGATCCGGCTGGTGTTTCCAGTCTTCGCCCTTTGGCCGAAGGTATTAGAACAGTAGCTTATATTTCTATATTGTGTTCCACCCTTAAGTGCATTGCAACCTATATACTGAAATGCAGCCACCTCTGGAGTGGAATGCAACATATGTTTAACAGAGCACAGCAGCACCACATAATTGTTGGGGACAGGCAGTGAAGAGGTGTAGGGCCTTGCTTTGCTCAGACAGTAGTTATAATTGATTTGTACTGCTGTGGTGCCTAGCCACCGCCAGGTACAGGCATAGAGCAGGACCCCATCATGCCAGGGGCTGTACAAATACAGAACAGAAAGGCAGACTCTGCTCCCTGATGTGCGTGGAGGTGGGGTGGCCTTAGGCTCATAGACTTTTAGGCCAGAAGGGACCACCATGGTCACCTAGTTGGACCCCCTGCCCCTGGCAGGCCACAGCCCCTCCCCCACCTCCTGCCATGGGGATCCGGCCATTAGCCCATGCACCCCGCTAGCCTGGCACCGCCTACGCTGAGATCCCAGCACAGACCCTGGGCCTGGCTCAGGACCCAGCTCCTGCCAGGAGGGTCCGGCCAGTACCTGATACCCACAATGCAAGAGGACAGTGGCTCCTGCACCCCCAGGGGAAGAGGTGGAGGAGGAGGTGGGTCGCACATGCGCACACGCCTCCCCCTTCCTCATCCTCCAAGCCATGGGGCGGGGCGGGAACAGAGCCATGACATCACCCTCCTTCAGCCGGGCAACCAGGCTTGATGCGGAAGACCCGCCTCCGACACCGCGCCCCATTGGTCGGCTGTCAAACTGTCGCCCCGCCTCTCCCTCGGCCCCTTCGGCTTCCGCCTGTCACTCGGGCCCAAGGGAGGTGCCGATTGGCTGCATGGGGCTCCGCCCCTTGCGCGGCTCCCGAGGGCCGGTTTGGTTGCGCAGGGTGGGTGGTTGCGGGGCCGCAGCGTCGAGTGTGACTGAGCCGGAGCAGCGTCCCCCGCCCGGCGGCCCCGCCCCGCCCCGCCCGGCCATGGAGTCCTACGACATCATCGCCAACCAGCCCGTGGTCATCGACAACGTGAGCCCGGCGCGGGGGGGGCTGAGGTGCCTGCGAGTGACCCGGGTCCCGTGGGGCAGGAGGGGCTGTTGGGGGGGAGGCTCGTAGCGTGTTTGAACGGCCCGTCCCGCCCCCGCCCCCCGCGCTGTGGGACTCGCGGGCGCCCGGGGCTGCGGGAGGCGGCTGCGCTGGAAGGGGCTGGGGCTGGGGCTGGGGCTGGGGGGGGGGATTTTCACCAGCGCCGGCTGCAGCCGGAAGCCCCCGGTGTTAATGAATCTCCTGTCGCTGTGACGTTTCCGCCACTCTCCGGCCTGCCCCGCAGCACGTTGGTGCCCGGCCGCCGGGGATCCCCTCTCGCGTACAGCGCCTTGCACCGAAAGACCTCGCTGTGTCAGCCCCAGATCCCAGAGCAAAACGCTACCCCGGCCCTACAGGCTCGCCAAGGCCTCGGTGCTGAGGACCATTTCGCAGGAGGCTCCATGGCCTCTCCCAGGCCGCGCCCCGCTTGTCTCTCAAAATACCCCATTGCACTGCTCTCTAGGAGACCCACAACCGGGGTGCCAGGGCTTTCTGCCCACGCTGCTCCCCCTGGCACCCCTAAGCATCCAGCCGCTGGTGTGGGGGGGTCCCTTGCTCTGTGGCAGTGTAACACCCTTCTCCCTGTGCTGTCAGGCCTCGGGGCATTTCTTCTTGCTGCTGAAGAGTTGATTAAGCTGAGCTAACTTTTCTGTCCAGTTCTCTCGCTTCTGTTTGGCTGGTCCCTTGGCTTAGAACCATCCTCGCTTTTTGAACGGGCTCTGCCCTCCTGTTGCTAGCAGCTCTTTGCTGTGTGTGGCTCCGCATGTGACCTCTTCCAGAGCTGCCCCGGGTGAGAGTTGTGGAATTTGGCTAGAAATATCCGGCCAGACTTTTGAAGCAGCAATCGCTGATGTGTCCCTGCTTCTGAGTCTGGGGCCCAGTGGATCTGCAGCTCTGGAGACCCAGCTGCACGCTGCTTTAGAGAAGCTTTCATTCGATCTTCTCCCTCTGTGGATCCAAAGGCTCTGGGTTACAATACGTCAGGTGTTTAGCTCCAGCCAAGCCTTACTCTAAAGCGTCTAATCCTTATGGCCTTCTATAACACCTGGGGGCTACAAAACAGGGTGGCAAACTTATCTGTGTCAAGCAAAGTCCCCAGACATCTGGATGTCAACTGGGTGGGGTGAAGATCTCCTTGCCTGTAGCGTACCACACGTCTGCTTTCTCCTTTGCATGTGACAGCAGGGACACAGAGCAGGCTAATTCTGGCTGTTTTGCTTTGGAAGTGTGGTTGTCCGTGTGTTCCTGTGCACAGAAGGTGTCAGACAGCTGGATTTGCACTGTGCCTGTGTAAGGGTGTGGCTGGAGAAGAGTTCTTGCTTGCTCATGCTGTGAATCGTTTGTAATGGGGCAAGGAGAAGCTGGCAAGCCAGAGATGGATTTTGGAGCCGTTCCTGGGAGGTTGGCAGGAGAAAAGTGGCCTCTGGTGACCGTGCCCTTCCCTGGTGGCTGCTGCCAGCTGGGTTTACAGTGGGGTTTTGCAGCGGCTGCTGCTGAGGAGAGGCAATATTCAGCTTAACCTCTTCATTCAAAGGGAGTTTCAGTGCAGGCTTGGCTTGAGTGCTGTGGGGTTTGTCTTCCTCCGGTGGGTGCAGCCAGCCCCAGGTCTGCAGCTGCAGAAAACCTCTGTCTTTAGCCAGCTCCACTGGTGGGACCCCCTCAGCAGGGCAAGGATGGTCTTTGCTTGTTTACTCCTTCACGTAACACAAGGACTAGGGGGTCACCAGTGAAATTAACAGGCAGCAGGTTTAAAACAAACAAAAGGAAGCATTTCACACAGCACACAGTCAACTTGTGGAACTCCCTGTCAGAGGATGTTGTGAAGGCCAAGACTATAACTGGGTTCAGGAAAGAGCTAGATAAGTTCATGGGTGACAGGCCCATCAATGGCTATTAGCAGGATGGGAAGGGGCACAACCCCAGGCTCTGGGTGTTCCTAGGCTTCTGGCTACCAGAAGCTGGGAATGGGCGACGGAATGGATCACTTGCTGATTACCTGTTCTGTTCATTCCCTCTGCAGCATCTGGCACCGGCCACTTTCGGCAGAGGGATACTGGGCTAGATGGACCAGGGGTCTGACCCACTCTGGCCAGTCTTATGTTGTTATGTGACTTGGAGGGTTCTACTCCTGGCTCCGCCACTGATTCCACGTGACCTTGGGTGTGTCATTTCCCCTCTCAGTGCCTCAGTTTCCCCATTTGGGAAGTGAGAATAGTGACTGACCCGCCTGCTGGGAAAGCATGTTGCTGGAGTGGCTGGCACTGCAGAAGGGAAGGAATGCTGCCAGGCCCGTGAGTGGGGCTGTGGCCCATCAGGACTTATGGCTCTTCGTGTGGAAATTTCCACTACATGCGTCTGACGAAGTGGGTATTCATCCACGAAAGCTTATGCTCCAATACGTCTTTAGTCTAGAAGGTGCCACAGGACTCTTTGTCGCTTTTTACAGATCCAGACTAACACGGCTACCCCTCTGATACTTGGCTCTTGTGGTCGCTGACAATGTGAACCAGGCCCAGCCTAGGGACAGATGAGTTGGGGGGTGGCCCAGCCCGGGGACAGAATGGGGGAAGGGAGCGGCTCGGCCCGGGGACAGACTCGGGATGAATGGCCCCCAGAGTATCTGTTTAGCTTGTAGGTTTTAAACAAGTGTTTGGATCAGCTGGAGGGCTGGGTCTCATGGGCCATATCTGCCTCCTCCTCCCAGTCCTGGCTGGGGGTCTCTGCTTGGCCCCCCTCACTTGTTCCCGTGACAGCAGGGCTGCCAGTGGCACCTGTATCCTGTAGGCACAAGGTGCGGGGCAGAACGAGACCCCCACCAAGACTACAGCCTGCCCTGCACCTTGTGCCTGCAAGGACAGGTGTCACCAGTCCTGCTGCAGCGCAGGGAGCCAGCCCCGCTGTCACAGGCCCAATCACTCACTCTTGTGACTGGGGCTGCCCCAGCAGCCGTACAGCAGCAGGGGGGCCTCCCCCGCGGCCAGGGGCTCATCTCCCCCACCTCTCAGTCCTGGCTGGGGGTCTGCTCGATTATGTGAACCCCTTTCTTGTGAGAGCTACCCAGGGCACAGGGTAGGGATTTGGCTAATGCCGAGCTGTGGCACACGGGGTTTTGGGTGGATGGACGCTGTGGGCTGGAGGTTACCGGTGAAGGAAAACATATAATGCAGCTCTAGTTTCTAGCCACTTACACTGGCTTCTCTGGGACTCTCTAGCCTCAGTTTGGTTTTCCCAGAGACTCGGCGAAGTGTCCCGTGCAAAGGGGGTGTTGGACTCGGTCTCCCCAGTGCTGGGGGCCCAGCTTCCAGAGAGGCAGCAGCTTGCTGTGCAGTGCGGTGCCAGGGGACAAGGTGTGGGGTATCCTCGGGGGAGTTTCCCCTGGTCACAGCCAGGCTCCCTCCCGCTGTGAGCAGGGGGTAGTGAGGCACCTCGGGGAACCCCGAGAAGTGTCACAAGAGGTGACCCAGGTGCTGCGGGATCCTGCTGAGGTCCCTGAGCCATGGAAGTGAAACTGACTAGGAGCAGTAAAGAAACTGAGGAGTCGCCTTTCCTCTTCTCTGCTGAGCCAAGTGCCCAAAGCAGACTGCCTGGCTGGAGAAACATCGTTAGCTTCAGCTTTAACGAGCGAGCGGAGGGGCTGCTGGGCCCCTCAGAGCTCTGATGTGTTCATCCTCTCATGCCTGGGGCAGTGCCGGGCTGTTCTCCAGCTGAGAGCCAGGGAGAATAAAGGATTTGCTCAGGGACATGCAGGGAGCCTGACCCCTGGGCCGGCTGTACTCTGGGTGTCCCCGTTCAGAGTCTTGGGACCCATGTTGGCTGAGCTGGGTGCATGGACAGGGGTTGATTAACAGCTGTTTGTGATTTCCCCAGGGTTCCGGGGTTGTCAAGGCTGGCTTTGCTGGTGACCAGATCCCGAAATACTGCTTCCCAAACTAGTGAGTATCTCCACCCGGACGGGGGTTTTGTTGTCAGCGTCTGGTCATTATCCCAGCGCCAGGCAAGTGATCTGCAGCGGAGTGACCCCACAGACTCCAGCCAAGTCAGTGGGAGCAGCATGGGGCCCTAAAATGTGGGGGGTGGGGTATCCTAGCCCCTCTGTCGAGAGCTGAGTGGGGATCTCCGAGGATGGCCGTGTCTGCAGAGCCATGGCCGTGCCTGCAGCTGGGCTCTCAGTGCTTCCGCCGACGCCTTTGCCTCTCTGCCGCCCAGCGCAGGGCTGTGTTGAAAAGAGCTGGTGTGTTACAGCGTGGCGCCTCCACCAGGCTCTTGAGCTGGGCCTCCTGGGGCCTGCTGGGATCCAGGATCGGACTGGCTCAGATCGAGGCCCCTGTGAACAGAGCCACCTGCTGCCCTGCCCTCAGCTGCCTGGCCTAGAACTCTGTGTGCCACACCCTGCCAGCTGGGGGGCTGTGCCCAGACCCAAGGTGTGGCGCGGGAGGGGCGTGCAGTGCCCCCAGGCTGTGTCTGCGGGGGCGGTGCCGGAGCAGAGGCAGTACGTGTTAGGCTATCATTGTCCATAGGCGATGGACCTCAGGACCCCGACGCTGGAAGCTTGGCAGCATCCTCTGAAGCTGCCCTGCGGTTGTCCGGCCCCTCCTCACCTCCGGGAGCCTGACACATCTCACGCACCAAGCCTGAGTCCGCCCCCCACACCCCATTGCAGCTAAATGCTGAAAACCTCCTTTGCCAGGCTCTGCTCCCATGGAGGGGGGTAACTGCCCCAGGGCCGAGGGGTGTGGCAGTCTCTGCACAGCTCTGGCCTTGTTCTGCCCCCCAGGGCCCGGCTGGGACTAGTGGGATCCCTCACCCCAGGCAGGGTCACAGCTCCCCCAGAAGGGGCGGCTCACGAGGGCTGGGCTGGCCCCAAGGGTGCCTGTGAGCCACTGTCATCCCTGGGATGCTGATCCTGCTCTGTGCCCCCTCTCCGTCTGACACTGGCGAGTGATTAACGCCAGCCAGCCCCTCCTAGGCCAGGGCTTGTCTGTTTCACCCCCTCCCCTGCCCCACAAGTTGGGGGTGGGGTCTGTCAGCTCCTTGCGAGGCCCATCTTCTCCCCTTGGGGTGGGTGAGCTGCAGCCCCACTAACTGGTTCTCTCTCTCTCTCGCCAGTGTGGGGCGCCCAAAGCACGTCCGGGTCATGGCGGGGGCGCTGGAGGGGGATCTCTTCATCGGCCCCAAAGCAGAGGTAATGGTGTAGCCCAGCCCCCTCCGGCCGCTTGGGGGTCTCAGCCCATCCTTCCCTCCCCCCCACCCCCACCCCCGCCACTTCAGGCACAGGTTGAACAGGCAGGGGGCAGATCTCCAGCTGTAGGGCAGGAGTTGGCAGCTGCTGGGGTCAAAGGTTCCCAGTTCCCCAAGCACATGCAGCAGTCTACAGTGGCCAGGTGCATTGTGGGAGCTGTGCAGAAAGTGTCCCCCATTGGGCTCCCCCTGGCCAGCCTGCCTTCCCCCGCAGCCTGCGCCCGGGGGTGCTGCCAGGCCTGGAGAGTGGCTCTAGTGGGTTTGCCTCCCAGGACACCCACACCCTGCCTCGCCACGGGCGTGGGGTAGTGGCTCAGCATCAGTGTTGGCCTCAGGTCAGCACTAGGGGGCGCTGTGCTGCCAGCAGTGGGTGAGGGTTCAGTGGGGCACTCTCCCCTCAGTCTGGGCTGGCCCTGACACCCCAGGGCAGCACTGGGAGTGCTGTGCTGCTGGGGGGCAGGCGAGGGGCTCAGTGGGGCGCTCTACTCTCAGTCAGGGCTGGCCCCGACACCCCAGGATGGCATTAGGGGGCACTGTACTGCTAAGAGTGGGTGAGGGGTTCAGTGGGGCACTCTCCCCTCAGTCAGGGCTGGCCCGGACACCCCAAGGCAGCACTAGGGGGTACTGTGCTGCTGGGGGGCAGGCAAGAGGCTCAGTGGGGCACTCTCCCCTCAGTCAGGGCTGGCCCCGACACCCCAGGGTGGCACTAGGGGGCGCTGTGCTGCCGGGGAGGCCTCTCTGCCTTGGCATCCCGCTCCAGGTGTGTCGTGACCCGGGTCCGCTCGCTCCCTCTGCCGGCAGGAGCACCGGGGCCTGCTGTCCATCCGCTACCCCATGGAGCATGGCATCGTCCGGGACTGGAACGACATGGAGCGAATCTGGCAGTACGTGTACTCCAAAGACCAGCTGCAGACCTTCTCCGAAGAGGTAACGGGCTGTGGGGCAGGGTGGCTGGATCCCCGGGGGGGGGGGCGGTCTCCCCCATCATGTGTCTTTCTGCCAGCCCAGGGCTGAGTCTCTGGGACGGACACAGCTGATGCAGCTGCGTCTGGGATGAGGCTAGACATGAGACCTGGGGACTGTCCCCGGGACCTGAGCTGAACACTGGTACGGACGTGGGGCCATCCGCTGCCTGCACAATCCCCTTAGCGTGGGCCTGGGGCTGGACTCCCCGCCCCGGAGCGAGCACGGCCCCGTTGGCACCAGCCCAGCTCCCCTGCTGTGTTCAGTCTCTCTCCTGATCTGTCCTTAGCCCATCAATGGCCAGGGGCTACCTAGTGCAATGGGGGGTGGCGACTTGGACACCTGGGCTGAGACCCCCCAGCTCATGTCACCCAGGCCCTGAGTGACTGTGGGGAGGTGAATTCAGTCGCCCTGTCTCAGCTGCATTTGAGCTGGCAACTTGCAGGAGAGAGGCTCCGGCCCCCCAGCTGGCCTGGGCTCAGCTCTGCCAGGCGGGTCCCCAGCTGCGCCTGGTCCCAGGCTCTGGGCCACTGGCACCTCTTGCCCAGGCCTGTCTACGAGGCGCTTCCCTGGGCAGCAGCCTTCAGCCCATGAGCTGGGGGTGGAGGTGGCTGTGGACCAAGCCACCGGCCTGGGTGGTGGCTCCCCTCCCATGCCAATGGAGCCACCATCTCTGCTAATTGGGTGTCCTGCCCTCCCAGCACCCGGTTCTCCTGACGGAAGCCCCCCTAAACCCCTGCAAGAACCGTGAGAAGGCGGCCGAGGTTTTCTTCGAGACCTTCAACGTTCCAGCGCTTTTCATCTCCATGCAGGCCGTCCTGAGCCTGTGAGTACCGGACACCGCCGCCTGCAGCGCTGAGGGAGCCCTCGGGAACACCGGGGCCCTCTCTCCTCACTGGCAGCGTGGTGATGGGGGGCACTGGGTGGCAGGGAGCAGGGTGTGTGCCCTGTTGGGTGGTTTGGAATCAGCCCCGGATTGCTTGTGATCGGCCCAGAACCCGCAGCGTCTTTCGCCCCAGTGTCCTGGGACTGACCCTCTGCCATGGCTCCTGAAGGTCCTTCCTGGAACGCGTTGCTGCGTGCTGTTCAGTACTTGCTCTGTCACCCCCCAGAGGCGGCTGCCTTTAGGTGGGGGGATGAAGCCTTTTCCCACCAGCCGTGTGCTGTCTCGGCGCGCTCGGGCCGATCTGCCGTAATCGCCGTGCTGGGCGCTTTCCAATGCGCTGGCGGGGCCGAGCTCACGGGCTCCTGGTGTCTCCCTCTGCTCCAGCTATGCCACGGGCCGCACGACGGGAGTGGTGCTGGATGCGGGGGATGGCGTCACGCACGCGGTGCCCATCTACGAGGGCTTCGCTATGCCGCACTCCATCATGCGGGTGGACGTGGCTGGGCGGGATGTCTCGCGCTACCTCCGCCTGCTGCTGCGCAAGGAGGGCTACGACTTCCACACCTCCGCCGAGTTCGAGGTGGTCAAGATGATAAAGGAGGTACGGGGGGGAGCTACCCTGGGGCTGGGGGCTCACTGCAGGATCCCCCTCGGTCAGGGCTGGGGATGCGCCGCTGTTCAGCACTGGAGCCCTGCTCTGCCCTGCCCTGCTGGGGGACCTGGGGCAAGACCCTGCCAGTCTGTGCCCCAGCCGTGACATGGAGGCCGGGGTTCCTGCCGGCTCAGGCCCTGAGCCTCATGGCTGAGGTGGAGGGTGGGGCAGGGGTAAGTCCTGGCCTGGCTGCTCACCTGCTCTCCCCTGGCACAGCGGGCCTGCTACCTGTCCATTAACCCCCAGAAGGACGAGGCGCTGGAGACGGAGAAGGTGCTCTACAGCCTGCCGGACGGGAGCACACTGGAGGTAAGTGTCGTGGTGTGGGCAGATCTCCGTGCCCTGGTGGCTCTGGGCGCTGGCTGGCCGGGAGCTCCCTGTGCCCGGGGCTGGGTTTGGTGGATTGTGCGCGAGGGCTGCGGGAGCTGGGCCTGGCTAGGCGGCGCAGTCTCCCAGGCACATGGTGCTCCGTGTCTCAGGGACCAGAGCTCCCTGGGGGCTGGCTCCGTGTGACGCTGCACCTAGGATCCTGGGGCAGCTTGGGGGGGGGAGGGGGCTGCTTCCCCCAAAGCAGAGACATAGGAGCCGGTGAGCCCCCTGGAGTTGCAGCCACGTCCCCTCGGGGCCCCATTACCCTGCGGTGCGGGGCTAATGTTGCTCTCTGGCAGGTGGGCCCAGCCCGCTTCCGAGCCCCTGAGCTGCTCTTCCAGCCGGACCTGGTGGGGGACGAGAGCGAAGGGATCCATGAAGTCCTGGCCTTTGCCATCCAGAAATCCGACATGGACCTGCGGCGGACGCTCTTCGCCAACATCGTGCTGTCCGGCGGCTCCACGCTCTTCAAAGGTGCGGCCCCGAGCGAAGGACTTCAGCGCCCACCCCCTCTGGTGGGGCCCAGCCCAGGCAGCACAGCGCCCAGGAGCTGGTCACAGCCCCGTGGCCTGGCCAGCCTGGTTCCTTGGCAAGGGGGCAATTCCTTCCTGACCCTCTGTCCTGATGCCTGCGGCTGAACCTGGAGCACTGCGCCCGTTGTGCATGGTCTGGCCGGGAAGTTCCCCTGCTGCAGGATTGGGGGGCGCTGGGGATCCTCTGCCCCCCCCCCACCCCCAAGAATTTTGATGGGGGGGGCTCCCAGAGTGTCCAGCAGGGCTGACCCTTTGGCTAGGGACAGTGCAGCCAGGAGGGTGGGTCTCCTGGGGGGCGGGTGTCACTGATGAGCTCACAAGCTCTGCCCCATGGAGGCAGGATGTCATCAGGGCCCCCTGGGAAGTGTTTCCCTCCCCCCGTGAGCTCAGGTAGCATGGTGGGAGGGCCCCGACACCCCCTGCCTTTCCCAACAGAGATGATCCCTCAGTCCCCAGGGGACGCAGGGAACCCCTCAGCATCTGTGGGGGAAACTGAGTAGCGTGCTCCCCAGGTCAGGACCTAGCTCTGCCCACTAGAGGGTGCTCTCACCTCAGCCTGGGACTCCCTGAGCTTGTGCCGGAGACTGGCTATGCAATGATCTGGCCACGCCCCTCCTCCCGTAGTGCCTGGCGCTCCCGGGTGGAATCAGGGCCCCTTACGCCGCCCAGGGGCTCTGCACATCAGGGTGGAAGCTGGGCTCTCATGAAGCGCTGGGCAGTCGGTGCGGAAAGCGGGTGGCCCAGCTGGCTCCTCGGGGCGGCCTAGGGTGACCGCTGAGCAGAGCGCCCGGTGCCCCTCGCAGGCGGGTACACAGCTCAGCCCATGGGGGAGGGGAGCCCCCTCCTGCCCCCAGAACTGGCCTGTGTTCCCAGCCGGGAGCCGCAGCCTGGGGCAAGGCTGAGAACGGGGTAATTCCCTGTGGGAGGCAGCAGGGGGTGTAACACTCACTCCCCCCTCCCCCCGCAGTTGCCTCGGGAGGCCAGCTTGGTGCCTGAAGCCATGGGCTGCCATGTCGCACCCCCAGGAGCCACAGGGTGGCGCCCTAGCGCCCGGCTTTCCAGCTGGTGCATGGGGACCCCTGTGGGGTGGGGGCAGGTCGGGGGCTCTCTGGTTAACGCCCATGTTTCCCCTTCAGGGTTTGGGGACCGGCTGCTTAGCGAGGTGAAGAAACTTGCCCCAAAGGATGTCAAGATTAAGGTGAGGAGTGGTGACGCCCGCAGCACCCTTCCCCTGCTGCTCAGCCCGGCCCGGCCCTGGGATCTCCTCGCCCCCGCCCAGCCCCTCCTGCTGTAATGTCCCTGGCACCGCTGCCTCTCCTGGGGCACGAAGCTACAGTGTGTGTAGGTCCAACCCCCTGCCTGCTCCACAGCCTGGCACCCTCCTGCCCCCCAGGCACAGCTCCCTGCATGGCCCCGAGCGACTGCAGCCTCCTGGGCCATGCTTGGATCAGTCCCTCCCCTCCCGCTCCCCCCTCCAGATCTGGGGGCAGCGCGGCCGCCTGGGGCTCCAGGGAATTGCCCCGTGAACAGGGTGGGTCCAAGGATGGGGTGCCCTGGTGGGACTGCGTGATGGGGGTGTGCACAGCAGGGCAGTCCCATCAGCCGGGTGCTGAGCCCCATTCCAGGGGGGACGGGAGGGGCTGTTACCGGCCGGGCTCCAGGCTGACCCTCTGCTTCCTTCCAGATCTCCGCCCCGCAGGAGCGACTGTACTCCACGTGGATAGGGTGAGTGCCCACCCCGGGGCCTGGGCATCTGCTCTGGGACCCGCCCTGCCTGCCAGGCCTGGCTTCCCTGTGCCTCTAGATTTGCTGCGGGGGTGACCTCTGCGTGGCCCAGGGACCAGGAGGAGCCCTGACTGGGGGGGAGGGAGCCGTGCTGGGCCAGGACAGACTTGCTCTGTTTAAAGGGAAGGAGGGGGGCAGGCCTTGTCCCCGTTGGGCTGTGTGCGGGGGCAGGTGCCTCCAGCCCCTGGTGACTCTGGCCCTCCCTTGCAGCGGCTCCATCCTGGCCTCGTTGGACACCTTCAAGAAGATGTGGGTGTCGAAGAAGGAGTACGAGGAGGACGGGGCGCGGGCCATCCACCGCAAGACGTTCTAGGTGTGGGGCCAGCGGGCGCAGCTGGTGGTTGGGGGAGCTCGGCCAGGGCGTGCCCTTATGTTACCCCTTTCCAAGCCAGGGCTGCTAGCACCAGCCCTCCCCCGGGGCTCGCCCTCCCCGCATCAGCTTCCGGCATCCCTGGAGGGGCAGGGCAGCCCCCTCGCTCCCTCCGAGCCGCTCGTCTGTGCGCACACGGCCCCCAGGCCTGGCCTTGATCCCTGCTGCCCCGGCCGTGCCCTGCACCGGTGGGGATGGGCAGGGCCACTCGGCTCTCTGCGCAGGCAGTCTCAGCCCTTGACCCCCTGCTGCCCTCAGAGCCCTGGGGGCCTTGGCCTGTCCCTCCCTGCGCAGTCCCCTAGCCTGAGGGGCCAGAGTGCCCCAGCCTGCTTAGCGATCCTTGGAAGCCCGGCAAGGGGATCTGGGGGCAGCGACCCCATGGGAGCTGGGCTTCGGCCTGAGGGGAGATGGGGCTCCAAGGGGCTTCTAGTCCCAGGCTAGATCATGGGTCCTGCCCTAGGAGAGCCCACCTGGGGCGCATGGATCCAGAGCCCACTGCCAGGCCCCAATGGCTGCCCTCAGCCCTTGCTGCTCAGGAGGGGTGGGAGCCCCCAGAGGCCTGGAGCAAAGCCCTGGTGGCACCAGGCTCCCCCCTGTTCAGGGCCGTGCTGGGGCCAAGCTCCTTCCAACGGGGGGCCCCTGAGCAGCTGGCTCTGCCCTTGCTCCAATGGTGCCTGGCGCAGACTCACTGCAGAGGTGAGCTGGGGTCTGGCTGGCTCTGGCCCAGGCAGGGTTGTGGCTGCCCCCTCCTCCCCCCAGCTCCAGGGGGGTGTCCCAGTCACAGCCCCTAGCTCGCCACCTAGAGAGCAGCTGCCTCGTGGTGCTACACTAACCCCCTGCATTGGCCACACCACAGCCTCCTGTAGCCATGGCCCCTGGCCCTGTGCCTGGAGAGTGTCCCTGGAGCCAGGGCAGTGGTGTGTCTGGCCCTGTGGGGCTAGTACCTGGGTGCTCAGAGGCCTGTGGGCAGGGCTGTACCAACCCTGAATTGGAAAGGGGTAAACCCCTGAACTTTTTTTTTAAAGGGCAGCAACTCAATCACCTGCCCCAGAGCGAGGCGAGGGGCCCGGGCACCTGGAGGGGCAGAGTTCAGCTCTCTAGCTCCAGGCTAGTGGCCTGTGTCTGTATCTTGGCTTCTCCCCTTACCCCCCCTGCCAGAGCCCTGGACCCCCAGTGGCCCCCGCCCAAGCCTGGCTGCAATGTACAAAACTGAACACAGTTGCCTGTATTTTTTTTGTAAATTCATTATAGTAATAATTATAAATTAACCCCTTGTGTCCTGTGTGTCTATCCTGGAGCCTCTCCCCCACCTGAGCTCAGCACGGGAGCCGGGGGGGGGGGGAAGTAACACTAGCTGGGTTGGCTGGAGATGGGCCTTGCTCATAGGCTCAAGGGGAGCCCTGGGGGTCTGTGGTTCTGGGGCCCAGCTGTGCCTGGCCCAGAGCAGAGCCTTACACCCAGCCCCTCTGCAGGCTGGCCAGGGCCTTAACCCCTTTGCCTTGGCAGCAGGTAAAACTACAGGCTGGGCCCGTGCCCGAGCAGCAGAGGGGGAGAGGGGGGTGCACAAAATGTCCCCATTGACACTCCCCCTGGGATGCACAGAGTTGCCACAGGAGGGGAACCTTCTCTTGGGTTGCTGAGCCAAGCTCTGGGGGGGTGAAGGTCTCTGGGGTCCAAGCAGCTGCTGCCCACATGGGTCCCCTAAAGCTCTGTGGTGAGTGGCTGCTGCTTGCATGGCTCTGTGCTCAGCTGGGTGGGGGCAGCAGTTGCAGTCCTCCCCTCCCCCTGCACTCCACTGATCCTAAATGACCTTGCCCCAGTCTCCCCCCCTGGCCTTTGCTGGCTGCAGCTGGCACACCTAGCAGCCTGTCATGGGCAGAGCCATCCAGGGGGCCAGTGCTGCTGCCTATGGAACCAGCTTCTCTCAGGGCCTAGGCCTCCCACCCCACCAGTAGGAGTCACAGCCCCAGCCTGGGCTCTGGAGCTGGGCCCAGCCAGCACCCTCCCCCCTCCCTCTCCACTGCCTGGGCCAAAGCCCAGCCGGGCCCTGTCCTCCTGCAGCGCTCCACAGCTGCTGGGCTGTGTGGAGGGGGGCAGGAGCTGCTGGCTGCTGTGTTGTACCAGCCCTCCAGTGTGGCCCAGGACAGGCAGCTCGTGCTGCCCTAGCCAAACAGCCACGTACCTGGCCAGAGCCAGCGGAGCCTGCTCTGTGCTCACAAACATGCCACTGGGGATAGCAACGCAGCTGGCTGTGGGGAGTGCAGTGCCCCCATGGGGAGAAGGGCTGCATGTGCCCTCCCCCCCCATACTCTAAGGAGCCCCTGAGGGAAACACCCCAGGTTCCTCTCACTTAACTAGCCAAAACTCAGGTGCACAAGGGGAAGCTGGGGCTTTGTGCGCTCAGGACCCCAGCCCCACCTGTGCCCCACTAGCCCTGCAGCAGGAGGCACATGGCCTTTAATGGCCCCAGCACAGCTCATGTGGCCACCTCCCTCTGCATGGGTGCTGCTTGGCCCCTCCCATTCCCCTCAGAAGCAGGAACCTGCTAAACAATCCGTGGGGGCCCGGGAGATACAATAAAGTCATTGTAGAGAAACTAAATCAATTCTTTGCTTCAGTCTTCCTGGCTGAGGATGTTAGGGAGATTCCCAAACCTGATCCGGCTTTTGTAAGTGACAAATCTGAGGAATTATCACAAATTGAAGTGTCACTAGAGGTGGTTTTGGAATTAATTGATAAACTTAACAGTAACAAGTCACCGGGACCAGCTGGCATTCACCCAAAAGTTCCAAAAGAACTCACATGTGAAATGTCAGAACTATTAACTATGGTTTGTAACCTGTCCTTTAAATCAGCTTCTGTACCCAATGCCTGGAAGATAGCTAACATAACGCCAATATTTAAAAAGGGCTTTAGAGGTGATCCTGGCAATTACAGACTAGTAAGTCTAATGTCAGTACTGAGTAAATTAGTTAAAACAATAGTAAAGAATAAAATTATCAGACACATAGAAGAACAAATTGTTGGGCAAAAGTCAACGTGGTTTCTGTAAAGGGAAATCATGTCTTACTAAACTATTAGAGTTCTTTGAAGGGGGTCAACAAACATGTGGACAAGGGGGATCCAGTAGACAGTGTACTTTGATTTCGAGAAAGCCTTTGACAAGGTCCCTCACCAAAGGCTCTTACGTAAATTAAGTTGTCATGGGATAAGAGGGAAGATCCTTTCATGGATTGAGAACTGGTTAAGAGACAGGGAACAAAGGGTAGGAATAAATGGTAAAATTTCAGAATGAAGAGGGGTAACTAGTGGTGTTCCCCAAGGGTCAGTCCTAAGACCAATGCTATTCAACTTATTCATAAATGATCTGGAGAAAGGGGTAAACAGTGAGGTGGCAAAGTTTGCAGATGATACTAAACTGATCAAGATAGTTAAGACCAAAGCAGACTGTGAAGAACTTCAAAAAGATCTCACAAAACTAAGTGATTGGGCAACAAAATGGCAAATGAAATTTAATGTGGATAAATGTAAAGTAATGCACATTGGAAAAAATAACCCCAACTATACATACAATACGATGGGGGCTAATTTAGCTACAACTAATCAGGAAAGAGATCTTAGGAGTCCTCGTGGATAGTTCTCTGAAGACATCCACACAGTGTGCAGCGGCAGTCAAAAAAGCAAATAGGAATCATTAAAAAGGGGATAGTCTCCATCTTATTCTCCATCTTATTGCCCTTATATAAATCCATGGTATGCCCACATCTTGAATACTGTGTACAGATGTGGTCTCCTCATCGCAAAAAAGATATACTGGCATTAGAAAAGGTTCCAAGAAGGGCAACTGAAATGATTAGGGGTTTGGAACAGGTCCCATATGAGGAGAGATTAAAGAGACTGGGACTTTTCAGCTTGGAAAAGAAGAGACTGGGGGGGGCGGGGGTAGGATATGATAGAGGTCTGTAAAATCATGAGTGGTGTGGAGAAAGTGAATAAGGAAAAGTTATTTACTTGTTCCCATAATACAAGAACTAGGGTAAACTAAATGAAATTAATGGGCAGCAGGTTTAAAACAAATAAAAGGAAGTTGTTCTTCGCACAGTCAACCTGTGGAACTCCTTGCCTGAGGAGGTTGTGAAGGCTAGGACTATAACAGGGTTTAAAAGAGAGCTAGATAAATTCATGGAGGTTAAGTCCATTAATGGCTAATAACCAGGATGGGTAAGGAATGGTGTCCCTAGCCTCTGTTTGTCAGAGGGTGGAGATGGCTGGCAGGAAAGAGATCACTTGATCGTTACCTGTTAGGTTCACTCCCGCTGGGGCACCTGGCATTGGTCATTGTTGGCAGACAGGATACCGGGCTAGATGGACCTTTGGTCTGACCCAGTATGGCTGTTCTTATGTTCAGCCATAAAGCTCCCCACAGTCACCCGAGACAGGCACCACCCTGGGTGGTTCACTTCCTCTGCCCCACCCGCCGCAGTCCACGCATGGCCCAGGTGACTGCTGGGGCAGGGGGTGCAGAGCTCAGCAAGGGGCTGCTCCCCCAGGCCCGGGCCACGAACCAACTTCCAGGCCTGTCTCCACTCAGGCACTACCCTGGCTTACACGCTGCATCGGCCCTGGGCCCCACAGTGGATAGCTACACCAAGCCCTGCCTGGCCGCACTGCTCCCGGGAAGCTGCAGGAGGCAGTGGATGAGGGCCCAGAGAGCTGTGGGGGGCCTCAGTGGAGCTGGGCAGGCTGGGCACAGTGGCTGTACCCTGCTGTAAGCAGAGCCGGGGGTGGGGGTGGGGGCGCGTACAGCTCGCCGGGCCATTGGCTGCTCTTAGAGCAGGGGCTCTGCTGGAGGCTGCACACAAGGTGTCAGGCCAAAGGGGGGCTGGGGTCTCCCGCCAGGCCAAGCTCCCTGCCCTGGGGAGCCAATCTCCAAGTGGCAGAAAGGGGTGTAATGGGTTGGGTACAAACTCTGGCTGGGGGGCTTTCTGAACACTAGGCCCTGGGACATGCCTGAGCCTTCAGCCTGCCCGGGCAAGGGACTTGTGCCTGGGGATGACAGCAGCAACATGCCCTCGGCAAAGGAAGCCACCCAGCTCCTGCTGCAGGGCCTGAGACGGCTCAGCTCACCCTGGCAGGGATTGGCAGCCTGGCATCTCCCCTAGGATTCTCTTCAGCCTGGGGCAGCCAGCCCCTCCCTCCAGCTGGGGCCACCTGCAGGATCTAAGGAGACAGGCCCCACCCAGAGCCGGCCCTTCCCCCTGAGAGCACCACCACCGAGGGCTCCGCAGGGCACGCAGCAAGAGCCTCACGTTACCCCCTAGCAGAGCCATCAGTGAAGGCAGCTGGGGGTGGGGGGAATGTGCCCCACTGCAGGTCAGAGGGAGGTTGCTGGAGAGATCAGTGCCCAGAGTAGCAGCAGGCTGGCCTGGACACTGGGGCAAAGGAGGCAGGCCAGACAGGGGTAAAGGCAACATCTTTAACACACCGACTCTTTATTGGCTCCCAAGAAGCAACACGACACTGGAAAGCAGCAGGCAGCTCGGCCTGGGGTCCCCCAGGGGGGGTCAGGGCACCTCTCAGTGCGGCAGATGATGGGGGACCAGCTTGTAATGGGCACCGCAGGAGGGGCAGCGCTGGGGCTCCCCCTTGTGCAGCCAGAACCAGATCACGCAGCTGTTGTCCTCTTCACCTGGGCGGGGAGAAGGGGGATTAGGTGGGCTGAGGTCACTGGGGGGAGTGCAGGCCGTTAACCAACAGGGCAGACGGGGGCTGACAGCAGAGCCCGTCTCGAGGGATGCCAATCAGGGAGAGGGGCGGCTCCAAGATGGCAGCTGCCCCACAGCAGGGCTCTGCCCTCCTGGCACACTCCACCCCAGGCCTGCAGTACAGGCCCAGAGCAGGGCCGCCACGCTCGGGTGTCTGGAACAGGACCCAGGCATCCTGGCTTATACTCCTCCCCTCAGGAGGCCAGGGAACAACGACCCCAGCTGGCCCAGCTCCCACAGCTCTGGGGCCAGGCAGGAAGGCAGAGCGAAGCCTTGTCTGAACCCAGCAGCCAGCTCCCGCCAGGCCCTCCCGCCACATGGGGTGCCCTGAAGAAGGGAGTTCGCTGGTCAGCCCAGAGCCTCTGCCTCCCCCCCCTTGCACAACGTGTCACTCACAGATGCAGCCCACAATCCTCTTGCTGGAGATGGAGGGGACCAGGTTGGGATCCTCCTTGGTCCCAGCGTAGCGCTTTGGTTGGAGGATGTTGTAGGGATCCTACAGGGAGTGCAGGAGGCAGAGTTTGCTGTTGCACCCGCCTCTGCCCCAGATCCCAGAGCTCTGACTGGGCCGCCAGCCCTCATCCCCAGCACCGCGCCCTGGTTTGACCCAGAGCCTGCAGCACCAGCTGGCTCTGCTCCATGCTCAGGAGTGGCGCTGCCAGCCAGTCCCATGCCACGCGGCACTGAGCAGCACTACCCCGGGGACACAGGGGCACTGGAGCGCCAGCTTAGCTCAGCTTGTGTCATTCTAAAACCAGGATCCCCCCCCCCACACACACACACACCCCCAACCATTGGGGGTCTCCCCATGGCCTAACCGCAGCCCTGCACCCCCAAACTCCACCTAATGCTGTCAGTGATTTACCCTGCCTGTCGCACAGTGAGACTAGTGCTCCCTGCCTCTGGGCGGGCGGCCAGACTATCAGTGGGGAGGGTGGGGATTAGGGGACCCGTTTCAGAGTAGCTCTGCTCACCTGTCCCTTTTCCATGGCCTTCATGACTTTCCTCTCCAGCCCTGTTGCTTGCTCTTCGTCGCTGGGGATACCTGGGCATGGGAGAGAAAGACAACAGGAGGGCATGAAGATCCCCTTGTCACGGGCAGGATCCCTCCCACCCCACAAGCAGTTCTCCACGCACACCTCCGTGCTGCTTGGGAGGAGTCATCCCAGGGCAGGAGACTATCAGGCAGGAGCAGAGGAAAACCATCCCATAGTTGGCCCCTCCTTCCAGGTGTGTCACGGTCTCCCTCTCGCACCGAGGAGATCCCAAGTTATTAGGAAGAGACGATTCGCTCATTAGAAATCTAGCTAGCTGGGTTGTGATGACCGGGAGAACCGCAGGGTGAATTGCCTGCTGAGTGCAAAGGTTGCGGCTCTCGAGACATCCAGACAAGCTTATGTGTAGTGCTGGGGAGGAACCAGCAGTCATGGTACATGTAGGTACCAGTGACATAGGCGAAGGTAGAGGTCTACTCAAGATAGTTAAGTCCCAGGCAGACTGCAAAGAGCTACAAAAGGACCTCACAAAACTGGATGACTGGACAACAAAATGGCAGATGAAATTCAATGCTAATAAATGCAAAGTAATGCATCTTGCAAAATATAATCCCAACTATACATATAAAATGACGGGGTCTAAATGAGCTGTTACCACTCAAGAGAGGGATCTTGGGAGTCATTGTGGATAGTTCTCTGAAAACATCCACTCAATGTGTAGCAGCAGTCAAAAAAGCAAACAAAGCTGGGACTCAATAAGAAAGGGATAGATAATAAAACAGAAAGTATCATGTTGCCTCTATATAAATCCATGGTACGCCCACATCCGGAATACTGCATGCAGAGGTGGTCACCCCATCTCAAAATAAAAAGATATACTGGAATTGGAAAAGGTTCAGAAAAGGGCAACAAAAATTATTAGGGGCATGGAACGGCTTCCATAGGAGGAGAGATTAAAGAGACTGGGACTTTTCAGCTTGGAAAAGAGATGACTAAGGGTGGGAATATGATAGAGGTCTATACAGTGACGACGGGTGTGGAGAAAGTAAATAAGGAAGTGTTATTTATTCCTTCTCATAACACAAGAACTTGGGGTCACCAAATGAAATTAATAGGCAGCAGAATTAACGCACACAAAAGGAAGTATTTCTTCACACAACGCACAGTCAGCCTGTGGAACTCCTTGCCAGAGGATGTTGTGAAGGCCAAGACTATAACAGGGTTCAAAAAAGAACTAGATAAGTTCATGGAGGATAGGTCCATCAATGGCTATTAGCCAGGATGGGCAGGGATGGTATCCCTAGTCTGTTTGCCAGAAGCAGAGAATGGGCAACAGGGGATGGATCACTTGATTCCCTGCTCTGTTCATTCCCTCTGGGGCACCTGGCACTGGCCACTGTTGGAAGACAGGATACTGGGCTAGATGGACCTTTGGTCTGACCCAGTATGGCCGTTCTTATGGTCCTGGAGGCCAAATGTAGGCTGCTAGGTAAGAGATTGAAGTCCAGGACCTCTATAGTAACATTCTCTGAAATGCTTCTGATTCCACATGCACGGCCAGTTGGACAGGCAGAACTGCTAGTCCTGGAGCCCATAAGAGGAGAGGCAATTCTTGAATTAGTTCTAAGCGTCCCAAGAGTTGAATATAGCTGAACTGCTCAGTAATAGCAACCATAATTTACTTAAATTTAAAATCCTTGTGAGGGGGGAAACACCAAAGAAACCCACTACAATAGCATTTAACTTCAAAAAGGGGAACCACACAAAAAAGAGGAAAGCTAGTTAAATGGAAATTAGAAGGAATCACAAAAGTGAAATGTCTGCAAGCTGCAGGGAAACTAGTTAAAAACACCACGACAGAGGCGCAAACTAAAGGTAAAGACCAAATAAAAAAAAGAAACAGAATGAGGACCAAAAGAATGCCACCACGGCTAAACAGCAAAGTAAGAGAGGCAGAGGCAAAACGGCATCCATTAAAAACTGGAAGTCAAATCCCGAGGGAAACAGAAAGGAACAAACTCTGGCAAGTCACATGTAAAAGTGCAATTCGGCAAGTCAAGAAAAGAATTTGAAGAGCAACTAGCAAGAGACCAAAAAAATTAAAAAAAAATTGCTGTAAGTGTTTGTAATTTCATCAGAAGCAGGAAGCCTGCCAAGCAATCACTGGGGCCACTGGACAATCGAGATGCTAAAGGAGCACTCAAGGAAGAGAAACCCGCTGTGGAGAAACTAAGTAAATTCTTTGCATTGGTCTTCACAGAAGAGGATGTCAGGGAGATTCCCACACCTGAGCCATTCCTTTTAGGTGACAAATCTGAGGAACTGTCCCAGATTGAGGTGTCAGAGGAGGTTTTGGAACAAAATGATAAACTAAACAGTAGTAAGTCACCAGCAGGTATTCACCCAAGAGTTCTGAAGAACATACACATGAAATTGCAGAACTACTAACTGGTATGTAACCTATCAGACTCAGACTTTAAGGTCAGAAGGGACCATTATGATTTTCTAGTCTGACCCTCCTGCACAACGCAGGCCACAGAATCTCACCCACCCACTCCTGTAATAAATCCCTGACCTATGTCTGAGCTATTGAAGTCCTCAACTTGTGGTTTAAAGACTTCAAGGTGCAGAGAATCTTCCAGCAAGTGACCCGTGCCCCACGCTGCAGAGGAAGGCGAAAACCCCCCAGGGCCTCTGCCAATCTGCTCTGGAGGAAAATTCCTTCCCGACCCCAAATATGGCTATCAGCTAAACCCTGAGCATGTGGGCAAGACTCACCAGACAGACACCCAGGAAAGAATTTTCTGTAGTAACTCAGATCCCACCCCATCTAACATCCCATTACAGGCCATTGGGCATATTTACCACTAATAGTCAAAGATCAATTAATTGCCAAAATTAGGCTGTCCCATCATACCATCCCTTCCATAAACTTATCAAGCTTAGTCTTAAAGCCAGATATGTCTTTTGCCCCCACTGCTCCCCTTGGGAGGCTGTTCCAGAACTTCACTCCTCGGATGGTTAGAAACCTTCATCTAATTTCAAGTCTAAACTTCCTGATGGCCAGTTTATATCCATTTGTTCTTGTGTCCACACTGGTACTGAGCTTAAATAATTCCTCTCCCTCCCTGATATTTATCCCTCTGATATATTTATAAAGAACAATCATATCTCCCCTCAGCCTTCTTTTGGTTAGGCTAAACAAGCCAAGCTCTTTGAGTCTCCTTTCATAAGACAGGTTTTCCATTCCTCGGATCATCCTAGTAGCCCTTCTCTGCACCTGTTCCAGTTTGAATTCATCCTTCTTAAACATGGGAAACCAGAACTGCACACACTATTCCAGATGAGGTCTCACCGGTGCCTTGTAGAACAGTACTAACACCTCCTTATCTCTACTGGAAATACCTCGCCTGATGCATCCCAAGACCGCATTCGCTTTTTTCACGGCCAAATCACATTGGCGGCTCATAGTCATCCTGTGATCAACCAAAACTCCAAGGTCCTTCTCCTCCTCTGTTACTTCCAAGTGATGCTGTCACAGAATCCCCGGGCAATGCTTTGGAACTGCTCCCCACAAAGCCAGTCAGGACTTTGGGGAGCCTCCTCTCCCTCGGAGCAGACTGTTTTCAGGGCAAGAAGCTCACACGGCTTCACCTCCTGGGTCTGCCCTTGGAGCATTTAGCATTTGCCCCTCCGTGCGCTTCCCACAGCGAGTCCGCCCAGGCAGGGTCCTGGGGAAGCCAGAGGGTCCTGCACGCACCCCCACTTCGCAGTCAGTCGTGACTCTCATCCAGCCAGTAAAACAGAGGTTTATTAGATGACAGGAACACGGTCAAAAACAGAGCTTGTAGGTCCAGAGAATTGGATTCCTCAGCTGGGTCCATTCTGGGGCCCAGCAAGGCAGATACCCGCGTCTGCCCTCACTCCTAGTCCTCAGCCTGCTCCAAACTGAAACCCCCTCCTTCTCTGCTGAGTTCCTTTCCCAGGCCAGGAGGTCACCTGACTTCTTTGTTCTCCCACCCCTTTAGCATCCCCTTGCAGGGGGGAAGGACCTGGCCATTAGTTGCTAGGCAACAGAGTGTCGGTCAGAAACTGAGGCACTCATACAGTATTCAGAGGAAACTGTAAGAACAGTCCCATTTCGTCACAGATGCGTCCCCAGTTTATAACAAAAATTCTTGTTATTAATCCCTAAATGCATGACCTTGCACTTTTCACTATTAAATTTCATCCTATTACTATTACTCCAGTTTACAAGGTCATCCAGATCTTCCTGTAGGATATCCCAGTCCCTCTCTGTATTCGCAATACCTCCCAGCTTTGTGTCATCCGTAAACTTTATTAGCACATTCCCACTTTTTGTGCCAAGGACAGTAATAAAAAGATTAAATAAGATTGGTCCCAAAACCGATCCCCGAGGAACTCCACAAGTAACCTCCCTCCAGCCTGACAGTTCACCTTTCAGTACGACCCGTTGTAGTCTCCCCTTTAACCAGTTCCTTATCCACC